GGGGGGGGGGGGGGAGCAGCCGAGACTTCTGGTGACCCATGTTTTCCTCGTGTGTTTGCGACGACACGATGGGATGATCGGTGGGTCAAGTGTCTGGAGTCTTCTCACCGAGAGGTCAGCTTGCTTTTACCAGCAGATTACATCAGGACAAACGACGGCTACACCACATAGCTGCGCGTGTGTGGGGGGGGGTGGGTGTTTGGGTGATGGAAGCTGTGTGTGAGATGACCCATTTCTCTATTTCTCTAGACGTCAGTTTTACACCTTTCTTGATCGCTTGGACGCACCAGCCGCGGTGATTCTCAGCAGAGGATGTTGAGCGGTCCCTTTTTCCCTCGTCGACCGTGAAGTCGAATTTGTGCGCCCACGGCTTATAGTCGCTGTCCACCTTGCTTTTGTGGGGAGACTATGAGCAAAAAGCATTCGCTTCAACCTTTATTCCTGGAGCAATTTGTCCGTGTTGCCCAGAGAAGACAGTCCCTTGGCCAAACAACATGGGTTCAATGGTTGCTCCCGAATTGTCAAGGCTGGACGTGTTTTCTGGGGCAGGACGTCTGTATACGCTCGTGGCGGGGGACTCTGTACAGTCTAACATTACTTGGTGTCTTTGAGGGATAGCTTGTAATAGCAAGAGGAGGGTGCTTGGACACGGAGGACCGCGTGTCGGTATCGGTGTGATGGAGAGACAGATTGTAGTGGCAGCCTTTGCGCGAGTGTATGCATACGTTTTTGTTGTCCCTTGCAAAGAAGTGACGGGTCAAGCGAAAGAAGCTGTGGCATACGTCAAAAGTACGTGGTGTTTTTCATCAGTGTAGTCTAGCTGAGGAGCTTGACACGTTGTTGGCGAAGGAAGAGAGTTCTCTGGAACCACCGGCTGTACAGACTCTTGTCCCCGGTGAACGACGTGGCTAGCGTCGCTGTACGTTGTGTGCAAGTGTTAATGCGAGGATTTTAGGATTAGGCAGCCGTTCCTCTCGGCAGTCGCGCGTGCAGACGGCAGAGCTTCGCCATCATGCAACTTTTGACATTCGCCTGCGGCGGCATGTGCGTGAGCGCCCGAACCTTTCGTCGCCGTCAGGAGTTGCACTCTCTTGTGAGTAGCTGGCGAAGCGAATCCCTTGCGGGAACGGCGATGTGGTCCAGGTTGTGGGCGAACGCCTCTGCGTGTTGCGGAAGGCTAACTCAGATCTGCCATTGGTTCTATGGTATCCGGGCCAAAGTGGTCTAGGGGCGCCAGGTTTGCCGACGCGCTGTTCGCGCGGGCGTGGCTTTGACACTTTTATTCTTCTGACGCAATTTTTGGGGCGAGTTTCCAACTATTCTACGGCACCCTTTGGCCGATGGTTCGGAAGACAATTTCAAGGCGGAGTTTGGGCGAGACCACCGGCTACCGCAGGAGGCCTCACCCATGCATGATCCGCACAAAGAATATGTCGGCGCGTCCAATCGTTCCCCGACATCAAGATTCGCGTTTGGCAGAAAAGTTGGAACCACGTCGTCGGGGAAACGTTTGTCCCGTTCAATGCACGACAAGCTATATCTATTTCATTTCGCCCCCGTAACAAGCGTAGGTCTCGAGAGAACACGACGAGGAAGTATAATCTTCATACCATTCCTCCCTATATAGCAGCTCCTTCATCCCTCCCATCCTGCACTCAGCGCGGTTCCTGCCATCATTCTAGAGATATACCTCCCTGATGGGGTAGGGTATCCTTCAGCGAGGTCCTTCTGCCGCCGCGGGTGGACTCGTCATGCAACAAAATTAATAATCCGATCTGAGAAGGAGACTAACCAAGTCTCTCATCAAGGTGGCAAGCATGCCACAAACGCATTTCCCTAGACAGAAACTTTGGTAAGGACAACGGGCCACCTTTAGTGCGTGTCACCTTCCAAGAAAATCAAGACCAGATGAAAAATGAAGGCGAAAACAGTCCACACAACAAACACAACTTATCTCCGTCCAGGTGACTCTCTCCGTCTTCCCCCGTTCAAAAAAAAAACCTCGCATGCATGTCGTGGTGGGGATAAGCGGGGTGAGAGAGGGGTTCCCTTCTTTCTGACTCACTTCGCCCGCCAACAGAGCCGGCAGCAGCGAGCACCAAACCACAGAAAACATTCTCCACAAGCACGATTACCCACTGCCCGCCACAACCCATGCGATACGTACCTGACACCTTAACCGCCGACCATCTGCTCGTTGCTGCATGTATGTACTTCTACATGTCATCATGTATCTCGTACAGCAAATACCAAGAGATACCGAGTTGTTTTCTCTGCTACCTCTGCCGTTCGGGCACATCTTCCAAAAATTACCGCCCCGAGTTACTTAGACTATACATCACAGAGAACCTATCCGTTCGAATATATACCCCAATCAAAGGATACTGTCAGGCAAGGAACGACACCGAAAGCGAAATAAGAAATACCTCATCAAGGATCCGTCGAGTGCGGCAGGACGAGAGGGTCCGCAGGCACCCCAAGGAAATACGAATGCACGTACAGGTGTGGACGACTTTTTACGCGCGAGCCACCCCGTTGAGCAAAGTATATGAATATTGATTTATCTACGCAGGGACAACCAAAAATAACGCAAGCGTCGAAAAGAACTAGCTGATCACGCAACCCTGTTTGTTGGGAGAGCACACGTTCATCGTGTCTTTGCTCCCCGGGGGGGAAACGGCGTAAAGGCTGGTCTCTGCCGCGCTTGCCTCTGCCGCGCTTGCCTCTCCGGTAGTCCCCGGCGTATGAGGTGCCCCCTCTGGTGGAGGAGCGGCAGCAGCATCATCATCAAACGCTACGGCGTGTCCCTTCCGCCCAGGCGGTTGGCTTGGCCGTGCAGCACGGCCGGCCGCGGCCGGTGCCGCTTCGGCAGCAGGGCCACTGTGCGGCGCTGTCGCTCCCTCCGCTTTCGAAGCAGAAGGGTCCACCATCTCCTCTGTCGCCATCATTTCAGACATGTCAACCACGCCGAACGCCGCCGTAGTGTCAGCTTTTCCTTCATTCGTGATTCCACACACGTCGCCACCGGACGCGTCCTTACCCACCGAAGACGGTGGCTTGTAAACAACGGAGGACACGGGCAAGGTCGGCGGGCTCGCGGTGATTCTAAAATCAGCATCCGGTGTTGCCGGCTTTCCGGCAGCCGAGTCCAGGAAAATCTCCTCAGACTTTGCAGCCTCTTGAGCGAGTGATACTGGAGCTAATCCCTTAAGTTGTTCCTTCTCGTCAGCGCCAGGGCCAACCAGGGGGGGGGCGCTCGTCGCTAAGGTAGCCGCATCTATCCCGTCACCGTCAACGACGGGCTTGCCAGCTTTCGGGGCAAAATCCGGGAAGTGGCGGGCGAGCGGCGATAGCTCCGCTACCGGTTGGTCCAAGGCCACCACGGGGAACCCGTGCTCCGGCCCAACCTGTACCTTGAGATTGTAGACGTCTGTGGTCGCCGGGGTGGGCGATCTGTCCACGACAGGTAGAATGGGCTGCTCAAGCTGCGCTCCACCTGCGAATGTCTTGTCACAAGCCTGCCGAAACGATAGCAGATGGGGGCGGGGGGGTGCGTGTAAACATGGTTGTGGGATGAACCGCGGATACGGCCCAGGACGCAATTTCGGACCTTGTTTAAGCGCGGCTGTACTACTTTGCGAACCTCCTGGCGGAATGCCCTCACGTCCATAAGATTTTAAGTCTCGAGATGGGGAAGCTATGCGAGCAACAAACCTCGGCAGAATAGGGCTTTTCGGCCTCTTCCTTCTTCGCTACATCCGGCGCGATCTGGTCGGCTGCTGTTTTGATGGACTCCGAAACCGCCTCGGTCGCATCTGAAGCTTGTTCGCAAGCAACGAACGACGTAGTCGTGACAGGCCTTTCCGGCTTACGCGTGGTTGCTCCATCCACCGCTACGGTAGGACTCATCGCGGCCTTGTCAGTCGTGGCGACGTCCCCCACGGCCGTCGGTGCGGTGGCGGATGGCTGTTCGCCGCTCGCTGCAGGAGATTCGTTTTCGACGCCGGAACGCGGCTTGCCCTTGTCCCAACCGAACAGCTTCTGCAGAGAGAAACCTTTCTTCTTCTTCTTGCTTGGTTTGGGCTCACCCTGACCGTCCGCCACCGCCGACGGCATTTCTACCTCGCCCGGCACCACACTTCCTGTCGCCTGTGCATCGACTGCTGTCTCCTCCAGAAGCCTCACCGTTCCAGCCACATTCGCTGACTCCTTGGATTTATCCACTTGGTCATGCGAGCCAGAGGGCATCGGCACGTCTCCCTCGGCCATTACAATGGGCTGTTTGATAGTGCCTTCGGGTCCAGCAGCCGGTGCAACGGAACTCTCGTCACTTGCCTCCGGTCCATGAGTGTCCTGTGGGCACGTTTTCGTCGTACGGTGAGTTGTGGTTGAAGACGCGAAGTGTATCACACCCGACCAAGTACTAAATGTAAGGGGCTGCAGATTCACGACGGGGATCAGACCAAAAGGGGAGCCGCAAGTTGGTTGGTGGGGGGGGACTCTACTGCTGTGGGCAAAGTGACATGCACACGTATTGTTTGCGTGGCATCGGTGGTGCAATCTTACGTCTGCCAAACTGATTTACGGTGCATTTTGTTTGCCCGTGTACAAGGCAGCTTGGACCGTTGTTAAGAGTTTGGCAAAAAAACGAAAAATCTATGGCTTGTTTCGTTCCATCTTTTGGGTATTCTCTCTCACACGACTCCTAACCACCTGTTTGGTCTTCGACAACATTTGCTTCGATTGAGTAGATTGCCCACCACCGGGTCAATGTTGCGTTGAACAGCTTTACATCGGAGGAAGAATCAAACACCAGCGCGCAAGCTTTGCACGAAAAATTGTCAAAGAGGAAATACCAAGATTGGGCCAAATTCTGATCTTGGACACATGTTGCACGAAAATAGCGAAAACTTGCTCCGCCAACAACGGAACAAACCCCTCTTTCCTCCCACAACAGGCGAGTGATGTGAAGATATCACCATGAAATCTCCAGCGCTTTTTTAAGGCCGAACACGTATCGTGCGCGAGGCAGACTACCCCCAAGGTCGTGAAAGTCAGGGTTTTCGAGCGAGGAAGAGACGACGACCATTTTAATTTCGTATTCCTATTTTGGGTAACTTAGCCCGTGACCACGGGGATCCACCGCGTCAAGACTAGTACGGACAGAAGGTACTGGATAGAGAGCACGGAACGATTTTTTCTGTCAAGACAACAACAGCAACAACAACAACAACGACAAGAACGACAACAACAACAAATAGGGTCGTTCTCTCATACCATTGTTTTCAACGTTTGTTCCCGGTGGCCACGGAAAGATTTTGAAACACCGGGCACATATCTCGGTTCAGGTCAGCCAGTGTACGGGACTCACCTCTTCTACCAAAACCCCAGGTCCATCTGTCCCGAGACTAGGAAGACCACCGCCGACAAGAACACCAGGTTCGAGTGCGTTCATGTCGACAACTCCTTCAACAGCAGCAGCAGGGGTCGGAGTTTCATCTGATCCCATCGCCACGAGGACTAAAGGCTTCTCGGGTCCCTGTCCCGTTTCAGTGTCCAAGGGTGTCTCCGACTGCTCGCCTGCGGTTCTCAAAGCACCGGTCGGGTCGGGCTTCACGACGCCGGTTCCGGCATTCGCGATGGGAAGAGTGTTGAGGTCCTCCGATCTACTCTTCTTGCCCCACCCGAACAACCTAGGGAGTGGCTGTACCGGCTTTTTTCCCTCTGTTCCCCCGGTCTCCTTGGGAGATGCAACTGAAGCCGGCACGGGGGTAAAGGGGTTCTCCTCGAGGACCTTCGATGGCGCGTCGAGTGTTTCTGCTTCCATTGCCGCAGGGTCGTCGGCTACATGAGTCTCCACGATCGGAGTGTCTCCCTCGCCATCGGTAGCAGCGGCAACCTGTGAAATAGACGATTGAATAGCGGAATACGATGTGTGATCCAGCTTCTGGAGACAAGGCAATGAGCGAACATGTGAAGCCCGATGTTAACAGGATACGAACAACCAGCCGGCGGTTGAAACAGCGCCACTAGAGAGAGAAGAAAGTCGGGATCGTGTTCTTCGTGGGGACATTGTACGAGCTCCCACGGCCCCGGCAGTGGTGAAGTGCGTTTATAAGACCGAGGAGAGTTGGCGGAAGTGAAGCGCGCCAACTCATTGGTTGGATTAGGAGTTTGGGAAGAAGAGCAACCCCGCGCCGGCGCCGTGGATTGCACCGCAGTCGGCTTGGGCGCCGGTGGGTTGGCCAACCCAATTGGCATCCTCGAAATGAACGAGTATTATTCTTCGAAATTGTTCTCGCGGGTTTCGAGGCAGGGAACCAAGACAATTTCCGACTGCACGCAAATTTTAACGCAATTTCGAGGCGAACACCTACATCCAGATCATTCAGACGTGCGGATTCGTGGGTTCATGCGGATACAAATAACAGCAACCGGTACGCGACAAGGTGACGCGGTGTAATTGGCGCGCTATGGGTCAAGGGTTGTATCTACAAGCGAATCGGCATCATGTCTGATATCGAACATTTGCACCACGCCAACAGAACCGGCCCAATGCTGACTGCACATCGTCACTCTCTCTCACGATTCCACCTAGAGGCACAATAACCTCCAAATCCCAACATGTACCAAAATTACTACTTTACACACTCACCTCGATCGGCGCCTCGCCCGCACCACCTTTCAACTCCGCCGCCTGTGATTCCTCCGGTCCCACCGGAGACACATCGTCCACGAGCGCTGGCATAGACGGGTCGACATCATCACCATCAGTACCAGACGCCGTCGCCGCCGCTTCGCCCAACTCTGCGACAGCCTCGACCTCCAACGCCGGCGTCGCTACATCCACCACAGCCACCGGCACAACCTCACCCGGTCCAGACAGCACCGGCTCTTCGACGGCGATAGCATTTGCCTCTGCAACCAACGCCGAAGATGGCACCTTGTCGGCTTCCACGTCCTCCGGTTTCTCCGTGACCCCACCGGTACTTGACGGGACCACGTCCGTCACCACCGGTTCTGGGGACTCGTCTACGACGGCCGGAGTTGGTTCTGACACGCTCGACGCCGCAGCCGCTGCGTCTTCCGCAGACACAGCAGGGTCCACAGGTGCGGCTTCAACGACCACGGTTGTATCGTTTGCAAAAGACGTCGTGTTCACAGGTTCTGTAGGAGAACGGTCTTCGGTGGCTGACGGTAGTACCTTGTCCACTGATGGGGCGGCCGCCACTTCCTCCGGTGGCGTCGCGGAGCGATTCTCGAGCGCCGATACCAGCGCGGACACCAACCCCACCGACACCGGCGCCTTCTCAGTGGCATCCGCATCGCCACCGGTACTCGACGGAACGTCCCCGGCAGTCTCTCCGCCTGCCTGCTTCGGTCTCTCCTCGGCCGTCACCGCCACAGAAGGCTCCACCACCACAGCAGTCTCCGGAACGAGGGAGATCGGCGCGTCTCCGGCTTCCACCGTAGCGGGTTGCCCGGAGGGTACGCAAACGACGTCCTGCAGAATGGGTATGTACGTGCAGGATCCCACAGAGCGACAGCGAGAGAACGAAGATATCAAGCACTGGTGGATACCACGGGATGCAACGCGTAGTGTCAACCCCGGAGTTGAGAAGCGCAACCAACCAATTACTTCTGCGCTGGCTGATGTCGAACGTCTGCATCCCTTCAACAGTACCGGACCAACCTTCACCACACATCGCCACAAACGCTTAGGATTCCTCCTAGACTTAACAAGTAGGACAACACCCGCTGTGTCAAAATCTGTACGCAAAACACATCACACACTCGCCTCGATCGGCGACTCGCCCGCACCACCATCCAACTCCACCGCCTCTGCTTCGTCCGGTCCCACCGGAAACAGATCGTCCACGAGCGCTGGCATAGACGAGTCCGCCTCGTCACCAGCAGTACCAGACGCCGTCGCCGCTACCTCGCCCAACTCTGACACAGGCTCTGGTACGCTCCACGCCGCAGCCGCTGCGTCTTCCGCAGACACAACGGGGTCCACAGGGTCCACAGAGTCCACAGGTACCGCTTCAACGATCACGGTTGTATCGTCTACAACGCCCGTCTTCTCTGCAGGAGCTGCAGTAGAACCGTCGGCGGCGGATGACGGTAGTACCTTGTCCACGACTGGGGCGGCCGCCTCTGCCTCCGGCGGCGCCCCTGAACTCTTCTCGAGCGCAGATACCAGCGCCGACACCAACCCCGCCGACACCGGCGCCTTCTCAGCAACATCCACATCTCCAGCCGTGCTCGACGGAATGTCCCCGGCGGTCTTGCCGTCTGCTTGCTGGGGTGTCTCCTCAGCCATCGCGGGCACAGACGGCTCCACCACAGCAGTCACCGGGTCAACATCGATGGGGGCGTCGTCTGCTGCCACCGATGTGGGCTGCTCGGAGGCTGCGCCGCCGATATCCTGCAGAATGCGCACGTACGGGTAGGGTTCAATAGAACGACAGGGGGAGAACGAGTATGTCAAGCACTCGTGGATACCAGAACACTTGCGACCAAGAGCCTGAGGATACGACAGTGTCAACGACGGGGATGATGTCGAGAGGCTTCATCACACCAAGACACCATCACCACCAGTACCAGACGTCTTCGCCGCTACCTCGCCCACCTCCGCCACAGCCTCGGCTTCCAATACCGGCGTCGCTACGTCGACCACAGTCACCGGCACCACATCATCCGGGCCAGACAGAACCGGCTCGGCCACGGTGACAGCATTTGCCTCTGTAACCAACGCCAAAGTTGGCAAGCCGTCGGTTTCAGTGTCCCTTGGCTTCTCCGCGATCCCGCCGGGGTTCGTCCGAACCAAGTCCGCCACCGCCGGTTCGGGGGACTCGTCTACGACGGCCGGACTTGGTGCCAATATGCTGGACACCTCAGCCACTGTAACCTCCACGGACATGGCAGGGTCCACAGCGGCCGCTTCAACGCCCACGGATGCAGCATCTACAACGGACGTCTCCACAGGAGCTGCAGCAGAACGATCTTCGGTGGTTAACGGTAGTACCTTGTCCACGACTGGGGCGGCCGCCTCTTCCTCCGGTGGCGCCGCGGAACTCTTCTCGAGCGCCGATACCAGCGCAGACACCAGCCCCGCCGACACCGGCGCCATCTCAGTGGTATCCATATCTCCAGCCGTGCTCGACGGAACGTCCCCAGGGGTCTCGTCGTCAGCCTGCTTCGGTGTCCGCTCAGCCGTCGCGAACACAGACGACTCCGCCACAGCAGTCTCCGGAACGACATCGATCGGGGCGTCGTCTGCTGCGAACGAAGCGGGCTGCTCGCAGGGTACGCCGCCAACATCCTGAGCAGAACAACCGTTCCGGGTCATACAGAGCGGCAGGCGGTAGACCGAGGATATCAAGCCCTGCTGGAAAACACAACACTAGCGTGAAGAAGTCCCCAGACACACAAGGTAGTGCATACGACGGTCTCGAGAAGGGAAAAAACAATTCACTTCGGCGTTGGCTGATGTGCAACGGTGTAACAATATCTACAAAATCGACCCAATGTTGACCACACGTCGCAACATTCGCCCAGGACTCCACCAATACATTCAACAACAACCGCCGTGTCAAAATCTCGACGCACTCAACACACGCACCTCGATCGGCGACTTGCCCGCACCACCATCCAACTCCGCCTCCTCTGTTTCCTCCGGTCCCGTTGGAGACAAATCATCCAACAGCGGTGGCATTGACGGATCTGCGTCGTGACCACCAGCACCAGACATCGTCCCCGCTACCTCGCCCACCTCTGACACCGGCTCGACTTCCAACACCGGAGTCGTCACGTCGGCCACAGCCTCTAGCACAACATCACCAGTGCCAGACAGGACCGGCTCGGTTCCCGCGGCAGCAGTGGCCTCTGCAGTCAACGCCAAAGATGGCACGTCGTCGGCTGCCGCGTCGTCTGGCTCCTCCGTGACCTGGCCGGAACTCGGTGGGACCACGTCCCCCACCGCCGGTTCGGGTACCTCGTTTACGACGACCAGGCTAGGTTTTGATACGCTCGAGACGGGGGCCAACATGTCCTCGACGGATTCAGCGACAGGCGCCGCTTCAACGCCCACGGATGCATCGTCGACAACCGACGTCGTCTCCACAGGAGCTGTAGGAGAACAGTCGTTGATGCCAAACGGTAGTACCTCATCCACCACTGGAGCGTCCGCCTCTTCCTCCGGTGGTGCTGCTGAACTTTCCTCGAGCGCCGATATCAGCGCGGACACCAATCCCGCTGCCACCGGCGCCTTCTGCGGGGCATCCACATCTCCAGCCGTACTCGACGGAAGGTCCTCGGCAGTCTTGCTGTCTGCCTGCTTCGGTGTCTGCTCAGCCGACGCAGTCACAGGGTCAACATCGATCGCGCCGTCTCCTGCCGCCACCGAAGTGGGTTGTTCGAAGAGTGCGCCATCAACATCCTGAAGGAAACATACGTCAAGGGCGACACCGAGAGGCAGCAGGAAACGAGAGTGTCATCAGTTCATGCCATCGCACTAGCGTGAACAAGCCACAAGGATACAACGGGAGCTGTAGGGTCGAGACTGACAACAGACACCCCAGTAGGGCGTTCGCTGCTGGAAACCGCCTGCATCCTTGTCCTTTCAACAATACCGCCCCAATGTTGTCTACACGTCACAAATTCCACCTACGTTTCTACCTTCTGCACAGATCAATCACAGCCAACAACCGCCGAGTCGAAATATAAGAATACAATGCACACACTCGCCTCGATCGGTGCCTCGGCAGCACCACCATCCAACTCCGCCGCCTCTGCTTCCTCCGGATCGACCGGGGACAATTCGTCCACCAGCGATGGCATAGACGGGTCTGCGTCGTCACTACCAGTACCAGACAACCTCCCCGTTACCTCGCCCACCTCTGACACCGGCTCGACTTCCGACACCGGAGCCGACACGTCGACCACAGCCTCCGGCACTACATCACCAGCGCCAGACAGCACCGGCTCGGCGACGACGGTAGCAGTGGCCTCCGCGGCCAACGCCGACGATGACACGTCGTCGGCTGCCGCGCCGTCTCGCTCCTCCGTGACCTCGCCGGAACTCGACGGGACCACGTCCACGTCCGCCGGTTCGGGTACCTCGTTCGCGACGGCCGGGATTGCTTCTGGCACGCTCGACGCAGCAGCCGCAGGGTCCACAGCGGCCGCTTCAACGACCACGGATGCATCGTCTGCACCGGACGTCGCCTCTGCAGGAGCTGTGGGAGAACAGTCGTCGGTGGATGATGGTGGTACCTCGTCCACGACTGGGACGGCCGCCGCCATCTCCGGTGGCGCCGCCGAACTCTTCTCGAGCGCCGATACCAGCGCGGACACCAACCCCGCCGACACCGGCGCCTTCTCAGCGACATCCACATCTCCAGCCGTGCTCGACGGAACGTCCCCGGCGGTCTCGCCGTCTGCCTGCTTCGGTGTCTCCTCAGCCGTCACGGGCACAAACGGCTCCGCCACGGCAGTCACCGGGACATCATCGATGGGGGCGTCTCCTGCCAAACCCGAACTCGGTTGATCGGAGGGTGAGGCCTCGAGTTCCTGCAGAAATTGCACGCATAGGGTCCAACAGAGCGACAGCGGGANACCACAGCAGTCACCGGGACATCATCGATGGGGGCGTCTTCCGCTGCCACCGGAGTGGGTTGGTCGGAGGGTGCGCCACCGACGACCTGCACAATTGAGCACGTACGTGCAGGAATCAGCAGAGCGACAGCACAAGAACGAGAGTGTCAAGCGCTAGTGGATACCCTAGCACTAGCGACCACGAGGCACGAGGATACATCGGGGAGTGCAAACGACAGCAGTGCTGGCAAGGGCGCCAACCAAAGACTTTTCGTCGAAGACTGATATCGAGCGGCTTCACCATGTCAACGAAAACGGCCCAATCTTGACCGCAAATCGCCACACTCGCCCACATTTCCACATTGGCGCAGAACCTCCAAATATCACCCAAACAGTCAAACCGCTACTAAACCCACTTCACACACTCGCCTCGATCGGCGCCTCGGCAGCACCACCATCCAACTCCGCCGCCCCTGCTTCCTCCGGATCGACCGGGGACAAATCGTCCACCAGCGATGGCATGGACGGGTCTGCGTCGTCACTACCAGTACCAGACAGCGTCCCCGCTACCTCGCCCACCTCTGACACCGGCTCGACTGCCGACACCGGAGCCGTCACGTCGACCACAGCCTCCGGCACTACATCACCCGTGCCCGACAGCACGGGCTCGGCGACGGCGGTAGCAATGACCTCCGCGGCCAACGCCGACGATGACACGTCGTCGGCTGCCGCGCCGTCTCGCTCCTCCGTGANCGTGCCAGACAGCACGGGCTCGGCGACGGCGGTAGCAATGACCTCCGCGGCCAACGCCGACGATGACACGTCGTCGGCTGCCGCGCCGTCTCGCTCCTCCGTGACCTCGCCGGAACTCGACGGGACCACGTCCACGTCCGTCGGTTCGGGTACCTCGTCCACAACGGCCGGAGTTGCTTCTGGCACGCTCGACGCAGCAGCCGCAGGGTCCACAGCGGCCGCTTCCGCTTCAACGACCACGGATGCATCGTCGACAACCGACGTCGTCTTCACAGGAGCTGTGGGAGAACAGTCGTCGGTGGATGACGGTAGTGCCTCGTCCACGACTGGGACGGCCGCCGCCATCTCCGGTGGCGCCGCCGAACTCTTCTCGAGCGCCGATACCAGCGCGGACACCAACCCCGCCGACACCGGCGCCTTCTCAGCGACATCCACATCTCCAGCCGTGCTCGACGGAACGTCCCCGGCGGTCTCGCCGTCTGCCTGCTTCGGTGTCTCCTCAGCCGTCACGGGCACAAACGGCTCCGCCACGGCAGTCACCGGGACATCATCGATGGGGGCGTCTCCTGCCAAACCCGAACTCGGTTGATCGGAGGGTGAGGCCTCGAGTTCCTGCAGAAATTGCACGCANAGTTGGTCGGAGGGTGCGCCACCGACGACCTGCACAACGCGCACGTACGTGCAGGATCCAGCAGAGCGACAGCGGAAGATCGAGAATGTCAAGCGCTAGTGGATACCATAGCACTTGCAGGTAATAGCCACAACGATGCAACGGGGAGTGCAAACGACAGCAGTGTTGAAAAGGACACCAACCAAACACGTTTCGTCGAAGCCGATGTCGAACGGCTTCACCATGTCAACACAACCGACTCAATATTGACTGCCAATTGCCACGCTCACCCAGAGTTCCACATTAATTGGCGCACATTCTCCAAACATCGCCGTAACAGTCAAACCGCTACTAAAACCACTTTACACACTCGCCTCGATGGGCGCTTCGCCCGCACCACCATTCGACTCCGCCGCTTCTGCTTCCCCCGCTCCCGTTGGAGACAAACCGTCCACGAGCGCTGGCAAAGACGGGTCTGCCTCCTCAACGCCAGCATTAGAGGTCGTCGCCGCTACCGTGCCCGCCTCTACCGCCGGCTTGACTTCCAATACCGGAGCCGTCATGACGACTACAGCCTCCGGCACTATATCACCCGTGCCAGACAGGGCCGGCTCCTCGACAGCGGTAGCAGTGGCCTCCACACCCGACGCCGAAGATGGCACGTCGTCGGCTTCCACTCTCGATGGGACCACGTCCGTCACCGCCGGTTCGGTCACGTCGTCCACGACGGCCGGACATGGTTCAGGACCGCTGGACACCACGCCCGTAGGGTCGTCCACGGACATGGCAGGGTCTACGGCCGCAACGTCAACGACCAGGGATGCATCGTCTACAACCCCCGTCGCCTCTGCAGGAGCTGTAGGAGAACAGTCGTCGGTGGCTGACGGCAGTACCTCGTCCAAGACTGGGGCGGCCGCCTCTTCCGCCGATGGTGCCGCCGAACTCTCCTCGAGCGCCGATACCAGCGCCGACTCTGACCCCGCCGCCACCGGCGCCTCCTCAGTGGCATCCACATCTTCACGGGTACTCGACGGAACGTCCTCAGCGATCTCGCCGTCAGTCTGCGTCGGCGTCTCCTCAGCCGTCACGGACACAGACGGTTCCGCCACAGCAGTCTCCGACACAATATCGATCGGGGCGTCGTCAGCTGCCACCGATGTGGATTGCTCGGAGGGTGTGCTACCGACGTCCTGAACAACCCATGCACGCAGGGTCCCACAGCGCAACAGGCGGGAGAACGAGGATGTCAAGCGCCGATCGATGTATACAGTAGCACTAGCGAGCGAGAGCCACGCGATACGATAGCTAGCGTGAACGGCGACGTTGAGAAGAGCAACCAACCAACTTCCTTCGTCGTCATACCCTGATGCCGAACGTCTGCATTCTTCGTACCGGCCTAATCCTGNTCCTCAGCGATCTCGCCGTCAGTCTGCGTCGGCGTCTCCTCAGCCGTCACGGACACAGACGGTTCCGCCACAGCAGTCTCCGACACAATATCGATCGGGGCGTCGTCAGCTGCCACCGATGTGGATTGCTCGGAGGGTGTGCTACCGACGTCCTGAACAACCCATGCACGCAGGGTCCCACAGCGCAACAGGCGGGAGAACGAGGATGTCAAGCGCCGATCGATGTATACAGTAGCACTAGCGAGCGAGAGCCACGCGATACGATAGCTAGCGTGAACGGCGACGTTGAGAAGAGCAACCAACCAACTTCCTTCGTCGTCATACCCTGATGCCGAACGTCTGCATTCTTCGTACCGGCCTAATCCTGAGTGCACATCGTACCATCCGCTCAGGTGTCAACATTGACGCTAGACGTCCAAATATCGTCTAGTCTAACCTCGACCGGAAACATTTCACACACTCGCCTCGATCGGCTCCTCGGCCGCACCACCATCCAACTCCGCCGTCTCTGCTTCCTCCGCTCCCGTTGGAGACAAATCGTCCACCAGCGGTGGAATAGACGGGTCTGCCTCCTCTGCATCAGTACCAGATGACGTCGCCGCTACCTCGCCCACCTCTGTCACCGGCTCGATGCCCGACACCGGGGCCGCCACGTCCACCACAGCCTCAGGCACCACATCACCCGGGCCAGACAGAACCGGCTCGGCGACAGGCGCTGCAGTCGCCTCCACCACCAACGCCGAACATCGCATGGCGTCGGCTTCTGCACCCTCCGGGTCCTTCGTGACCCCGCCGGTACTCGACGGGACCGTGCCCGTCTCTGCAAATTCGGGTACCTCGTCTACCACGACCGGGCTTGGTTCTAGCACGCTCGACACCGCAGCCGCAGGGCCCTCCACGGATGCAACAGGGTCAGCAGGAGCCGATTCGATGCCCGCGGATGCATCGCCTACANTCGCAGGGTCCTCCACGGATACAACAGGGTCAGCAGGAGCCGATTCAACGCCCACGGATGCATCGCCTACAACGGACGTCGCCTTCGCAGGAGCTGTAGTAGCAGCGTCGTCGGTGGCCGAGGGTAGTACCTCATCCACGACTGGAGCGGCCGCCTCTGCCTCCGATGGCGCCGCTGAACTCTGCTCGATCGTCGATACCAGCGCGGACACCAACCCCGCCGACACCGGCTCCTCCTCAGTGGCGACCACATCTTCACCTGTACTCGACGGAACGTCCCCGGCGGTCTCGCCGTCTGCCTGCTTCGGTCTCTCCTCAGTCGTCGCGGACACAGACAGCTCCTCCACAGTCACAGGGACAACATCGATCGGCGAGTCTTCGACTGCCACCGATGTAGGTTGATCGGCGGGTGCGCCATCGACGTCCTGAACCAAACATACGTTTGGGGCCGCACAGAGTGACAGGCAGGAGAACGAGGATGTCAAGCGGTGGATACTATAACACCAGCAAGCAAGAGCCAGGGAATACAACCGGAAGTGTAAGCATTGGCGTTGAGAAGGGCAACCAACAAACTACAAACTACGTCTGATTGGTTGCTGTCGCAGGTCTGCATCCTTTCGACACTACCACCCCGATCTAGACCACACATCGCAGCATCCGCTCATGTTTTCACCTTGACGGCCAACATCCAAACTTAGCCTGGTCTAACCCCTTACCCAAACCACTTCATACACTCGCCTCGATCGGCGCTTCGACCGCACCACCATCCAACTCCGCCACCTCTGCTTCCTCCGCTCCCGTTGGAGACAAATCGTCCACCAGCGGTGGAATAGACGGGTCTGCCTCCTCTGCATCAGTACCAGATGACGTCGCCGCTACCTCGCCCACCTCTGACACCGGCGTCGCCACGTCCACCACAGCCTCCGGCACCACATCATCAGTGCCAGACAGAACCGGCTCGGCGACAGGCGCTGCAGTCGCCTCCACCACCAACGCCGAACATCGCATGGCGTCGGCTTCTGCACCCTCCGGGTCCTTCGTGACCCCGCCGGTACTCGACGGGACCGTGCCCGTCTCTGCAAATTCGGGTACCTCGTCTACCACGACCGGGCTTGGTTCTAGCACGCTCGACACCGCAGCCGCAGGGCCCTCCACGGATGCAACAGGGTCAGCAGGAGCCGATTCGATGCCCGCGGATGCATCGCCTACAACGGACGTCGCCTTCGCAGGAGCTGTACTAGCAGCGTCGTCGGTGGCCGAGGGTAGTACCTCATCCACGACTGGAGCGGCCGCCTCTTCCTCCGTTGGCCCCGCGATAATCCCCTCGAGCGTCGATACCAGCGCGGACGCCAACCCTGCCGACACCGGCGCCTGCTCAGCGACATCTACATCTTCACCTGTACTCGACGGAACGTCCCCGGCGGTCTCGCCGTCTGCTTTCTTTGGTGTCTCCCCAGCCGCAGCAGTCACTAGGACGGCATCGATCGGGGCGTCTCCGGCTGAACCCGAACTTGGTTGATTGGAGGGTGAGACCTGGAGATCCTGCAGAAAATGTACAAAAAGAGCCAGCAGAGCGACAAGGGGAAAACGAGAACACCAAGGGCTGATGGAATATTGTTCTGGAGAGTCGCGAAATACAACCGCTAGAATAACCGAGGGGGTGAAGGTCGGTTATAGAGGCAACCCACAGAACTACGTCGTCATTGACCTATGTTGAAGGTCTGCATTTTTTTCCACAGCGGTCCGATGCCTTTCTTCACCTTGCGACACCTGCACTCGTTTCCACCTCGATCAACAATACCCAACAACTGGTGGGCCAAATATATCAAAAATAATTCACACACTCGCCTCGATCAGCGCCTCGACAGCACCACCATCCAACTCGACCGCCTCTGTTTCCTTCGGCGCGACCGATGGCACAGACGGGTCTGCCTCCTCAGCATCAGTACCAGACGTCGTCCCCGCTACCTCGCCCACCCCTGACACCGGCTCGACTTCCAACACCAGAGTCGTCACGTCCGCCACAGCCTCCGGCACTATATCACCAGTGCCAGACAGCACCGGCTCGGCGACGTCGGCAGCAATGGCCTCCGCGGCCAACGCCGACGATGACACGTCGTCGGCTGCCGCGCCGTCTCGCTCCTCCGTGACCTCGCCGGAACTCGACGGGACCACATCCACCTCCGCCAGTTCGGCTACTTCGTCCACAACGGCCGGAGTTGCTTCTGGCACGCTCGACGCAGCAGCCGTAGGGTCCGCAGCGGCCGCTTCAACGACCACGGATGCATCGTCGACAACCGACGTCGTCTTCACAGGAGCTGTGGGAGAACAGTCGTCGGTGGATGACGGTAGTACCGCATCCACGACAGAGGCAGCCGCCTCTCCCTCCAGTGCCGCCGCCGAACTCTTCTCGAGCGCCGATACCAGCGCGGACACCAACTCCGCCGACACCGGCGCCTTCTCAGCGACATCCACATCTCCAGCCGTGCTCGACGGAACGTCCCCGGCGGTCTCGCCGTCTGCCTGCTTCGGTGGCTCCTCAGCCGGCGCGGGCACAGACGGCTCCGCCATGGCATTCACCGGGACATCATCGACGGGGGCGTCTTCCGCTACCACCGCAGGGAGTTGGTCGAAGGTTGCGCCTCCGACGACCTGCACAACGCGCACATACGTATAGGGTCCAACAGAGCGACAGCGGGAGAACAAGGACGTCACGCCGCGGCATACCATAGAAATAGAGGGCCACGGACACTAACCGGTAGTATAAACAAGGGGGTTGAAAAGGCAACCCACAAAACTACGTCGCTGTCGTTGGCCAATGTCGAACGTCGTCATCGCTTCCACAGTACGGCCCAATCTTGACCGCAAATCGCCACACTCGCCCACATTTCCACATTGGCGCAGAACCTCCAAATATCACCCAAACAGTCTTAACAGCTACCACAACCATTTCACACACTCGCCTCGATCGGCGCCTCGATAGCACCACCATCCAACTCCGCCGCATCTGCTTTCTCCGGATCGACCGGGGACAAATCGTCCACCAGCGATGGCATAGACGGGTCTGCCTCCTCAGCATCAGTACCAGACAGCGTCCCCGCTACCTCGCCCACCTCTGACACCGGCTTGACTTCCGACACCGGAGCCGACACGTCGACCACAGCCTCCGGCACTACATCACCCGTGCCAGACAGCACGGGCTCGGCGACGGCGGTAGCAATGACCTCCGCGGCCAACGCCGACGATGACACGTCGTCGGCGGCAGCGCGGTCTCGCTCTTCCGTGACCTCGCCGGAACTCGACGGGACCACGTCCACCTCCGCCGGTACGGGTACCTCGTCCACAACGGCCGGAGTTGCTTCTGGCACGCTCGACGCAGCAGCCGCAGGGTCCACAGCGGCCGCTTCCGCTTCAACGACCACGGATGCATCGTCGACAACCGACGTCGTCTTAACAGGAGCTGTGGGAGAACAGTCGTCGGTGGATGACGGTAGTGCCTCGTCCACGACTGGGACGGCCGCCGCCATCTCCGGCGGCGCCGCCGAACTCTTCTCGAGCGCCGATACCAGCGCGGACACCAACCCCGCCGACATCGGCGCCTTCTCAGCGACATCCACATCTCCAGCCGTGCTCGGCGGAACGTCCCCGGCGGTCTCGCCGTCTGCCTGCTTCGGTGTCTCCTCAGCCGTCGCGGGCACAGGCGGCTCCGCCACGGCAGTCACCGGGACATCATCGATGGGGGCGTCTTCCGCTACCACCGCAGGGAGTTGGTCGAAGGTTGCGCCACCGACGACCTGCACAACGCGCACATACGTGCAGGATCCAGCAGAGCGACAGCGGAAGATCGAGAATGTCAAGCGCTAGTGGATACCATAGCACTAGCGACCACGCGGGGAATGCAAACGACAGCAGTGGCGTTGAGAAGGACACCAACCAAACACTTTGGTCGAAGCCCATGTCGAACGGCTTCGCCATGTCAACACAACCGCCAAAATCTTGACTGCCAATTGCCACGCTCGCCCAAAGTTCCACATTGATTGGCGCAGATCCTCCAAACATCGCCATAACAGTCAAACCGCTACTTCACACACTCGCCTCGATCGGCGCTTCGCTCGCACCACCATCCAACTCCGCCACCTCTGATTCCTCCGCTCCCGCTGAAGACAAATCGACAACGAGGGCTGGCATGGACGGGTCTACGTCGCCACCATCGGTACCAGACGTCATGGCTGCTACCTCGTCCACCTCCGACACCAGCTCGACCTCCGACACCGGCATCGTCAGGTCACCCACATCCTCAGACATCACATCACCCGTGCCAGACAGGACCGGCTCCTCGACAGCGGTAGCAGTGGCCTCCACAATCAACTCCGAATATGGCACGTCGTCGGCTTCCACACTCGATGGCACCACGTCCGTCACCGCCGGTTCGGGTACCTCGTCCACGACGGCCGGACATGGTCCAGGACCGCTCGACGCCACGGCCGCAGGGTCCTCCACGGACACGGCAGGGTCTACGGCGGCCGATTCAACAACCAGGGATGCATCGTCTACAACCCCCGTCGCCTCTGCAGGAGCTGTAGGAGAACAGTCGTCGGTGGCTGACGGCAGTACCTCGTCCAAGACTGAGGCGGCCGCCGCTTCTGCCGATTGCGCCGCCGAACTCTCCTTGAGCGCCGGTACCAGCGCCGACACTGACCCCGCCGCCACCGGCGCCTCCTCAGTGGCATCCACATCTCCACCGGTACTCGACGGAACGTCCTCAGCGATCTCACCGTCAGTCTGCTTCGGTCTCTCCTCAGCCGTCACGGACACAGACGGCTCCGCCACCGCAGTTTCCGGCACAACATCGATCGGGGCATCGTCAGCTGCCACCGATGTGGATTGCTCGGAGGGTGTGCCACCGACGTCCTGAACAAACCATGCACGCAGGTTCCCACAGCGCAACAGGCGGGAGAACGAGGATGTCAAGCGGTGGATACTACAACACCAGCAAGCAAGAGCCAGGGAATACAACCGGAAGTGTAAGCATTGGCGTTGAGAAGGGCAACCAACAAACTACAAACTACGTCTGATTAGTTACTGTCGCAGGTCTGCATCCTTTCGACACTACCACCCCGATCTCGACCACACATCGCAGCACCCGCTCATGTTTTCACCTTGACGGCCAACATCCAACCTTAGCCTGGTCTAACCCCTTACCGACACCACTTCATACACTCGCCTCGATCGGCGCTTCGACCGCACCACCATCCAACTCCGCCGCCCCTGCTTCCTCCGGTCCCGTTGGAGACAAGATGTCAACGAGCGCTGGCATAGATGGATCTGCATCGCCACCATCAGTACCAGACGTCGTCGCCGCTACCTCGTCCACCTCTGACACCGGCTCGACTTGCAACATCGGAGTCGACACGTCCACCACAGCCTCCGGCACTATATCACCCGGGCCAGATAGCACCGGCTCCTCCATGGTGACAGCAGTTGCCTTCTCAACCACTCCCGAAGATTGCACGTCGTCGGCTTCCACTCTCGACGGGACCACGTCCGTTACCGCCGGTTCGGGTACCTCGGCCGCGACGGCCGGGCGTGGTGCTGGTAAGCTCGACGCCACAGCCGCAGGGTCCTCCACGGATACGGCAGGGTCTACGGTGGCCGATTCAACAACCAGGGATGCATCGTCTACAACCCCCGTCGCCTCTGCAGGAGCTGTAGGAGAACAGTCGTCGGTGGCTGACGGCAGTACCTCGTCCAAGACTGAGGCGGCCGCCGCTTCTGCCGATTGCGCCGCCGAACTCTCCTTGAGCGCCGGTACCAGCGCCGACACTGACCCCGCCGCCACCGGCGCCTCCTCAGTGGCATCCACATCTCCACCGGTACTCGACGGAACGTCCTCAGCGATCTCACCGTCAGTCTGCTTCGGTCTCTCCTCAGCCGTCACGGACACAGACGGCTCCGCCACCGCAGTTTCCGGCACAACATCGATCGGGGCATCGTCAGCTGCCACCGATGTGGATTGCTCGGAGGGTGTGCCACCGACGTCCTGAACAAACCATGCACGCAGGTTCCCACAGCGCAACAGGCGGGAGAACGAGGATGTCAAGCGGTGGATACTACAACACCAGCAAGCAAGAGCCAGGGAATACAACCGGAAGTGTAAGCATTGGCGTTGAGAAGGGCAACCAACAAACTGCAAACTACGTATTTTGTCAGAGGTTGCTGTCGTAGGTCTGCATCCTCGCGGCAGTACCGCCCCGATCTCGACCACACATCGCAGCATCCGCCCACGTTGTCACCTTCACGACCAACTTCCAAACTTAGCCTGGTCTAACCCCTTACCCAAACCACTTCACACACTCGCCTCGATCGACGCTTCGACCGCACCACCGTCCAACTCCGCCACCTCTGCTTCTTCCGCTCCCGCTGGAGACAAATCGTCCACCAGCGGTGGAATAGACGGGTCTGCCTCCTCTGCATCAGTACCAGTCGACGTCGCCGCTACCTCGCTCACCTCTGACACCGGCTCGACTTCCGACACCGGCGTCGCCACGTCCACCACAGCCTCCGGCACTACATCACCCGGGCCAGATAGCACCAACTCCTCCACGGTGACAGCATTAGCCCCTTTAACTACTCCCGAAGATGGCACGTCGTCGGCTTCCACTCTCGATGGNAACCACATCACCCGGGCCAGACAGAACCGGCTCGGCGACAGGCGCCGCAGTCGCCTCTCCAACCAACGCCGAACATACCATGGCGTCGGCTTCCGCATCCTCTGGCTCCTCCGCAACCCCGCCGGTACTCGACGGGACCGTGCCCGTCTCCACAGGTTCGGATACCTCGTCTACCACGACTGGGCTTGGTTCTAGCACGCTCGACACCGCAGCCCCAGGGTCCTCCACGGATACAACAGGGTCAGCAGGAGCCGATTCGATGCCCGCGGATGCATCGCCTACAACGGACGTCGCCTTCGCAGGAGCTGTTGTAGCAGCGTCGTCGGTGGCCGAGGGTAGCACCTCATCCACGACTGGAGCGGCCGCCTCTTCCTTCGATGGCGCCGCGATAATCCCCTTGATCGTCGATACCAGCGCGGACACCAACCCCGCCGACACCGGCGCTTCCTCAGTGGCGACCACATCTTCACCTGTACTCGACGGAACGTCCCCGGCGGTCTCGCCGTCTGCCTGCTTCGGTCTCTCCTCAGTCGTCGCGGACACAGACAGCTCCTCCACAGTCACAGGGACAACATCGATCGGCGAATCTTCGACCGTCACCGATGTAGGTTGATCGGCGGGTGCACCATCGACGTCCTGAACCAAACATGCGTTTAGGGCCGCACAGAGTGACAGGCGGGAGAACGGGGACGTCAAGCGGTGGATACCATAACACCAGCAAGCAAGAGCCAGGGAATACAACCGAAAGTGTAAGCATTGGCGTTGAGAAGGGCAACCAACAAACTACAAACTACGTCTTTTGTCAGAGGTTGCTGTCGTAGGTCTGCATCCTTTCGACACTATCACCCCGATCTCGACCAAATATCGCAGCATCCGCCCACGTTTTCACCTTCATGACCAACTTCCAAACTCGGCCTGGTCAAACCCCTTACCGAAACCACGTCATACACGACCAACTTCCAAACTCGGCCTGGTCAAACCCCTTACCCAAACCACGTCATACACTCGCCTCGATCGGCGCTTCGACCGCACCACCATCCAACTCCGCCACCTCTGCTTCCTCCGCTCCCGCTGGAGACAAATCGTCCACCAGCGGTGGAATAGACGGGTCTTCCTCCTCTGCATCAGTACCAGTCGACGTCGCCGCTACCTCGCCCACCTCTGACACCGGCTCGACTTCCGACACCGGCGTCGCCACGTCCACCACAGCCTCCGGCACTACATCACCCGGGCCAGATAGCACCAACTCCTCCACGGTGACAGCATTAGCCCCTTTAACTACTCCCGAAGATGGCACGTCGTCGGCTTCCACTCTCGATGGGACCACGTCCGTCACCGCCGGTTGGGGTACCTCGTCCACGACGGTCGGAGATGGTGCTGGTACGCTCGACGCCATGGCCGTAGGGTCCTCCACGGATACGGCAGGGTCTACGGTGGCCGACTCCACCACCACGGGTGCATCGTCTATAACGGACGTCGTCTCCATAGGAGCTGTAGGATGACGGTCGTCGGTGACCGACGGCAGTACCTCATGCAAGGCTATACGGGGCAGCTTTTCCCCCGATGGTGCTGCTGAACTCGCCTCGAGCGCCGATACCAGCGTGGATATCGACCCCGCCGACACCGGCGTCTTCGAGGTGCTATCTACCTCTTCACCGGTACTCGACGAAACGTCCCCGACGGTCTCGTCGTCTGCCTGCTTCGGTGTCTCCTGAGCCGTCACAAGCACAGACGGCTCCGCCACAGCAACCCCCGGAACGGCATCCATCGGGGCGTCGTTTGCTGCCAACGACGCGGGTTCCTCTGAGGGTATGCTGCCAACGTCCTGAATACGACAAACGTTCGGGGTCATACAGAGTGATAGGCGGGAGAACGAGGACGTTAAGGGCTGGTTGATACCATATCACTTGTCAACAACCAGCCACGTTGATACAACAGGTTGTGTCAACGACGCCGTTGAGAAGGGCATCGAACACATGTTTTCGTCATCATTGGCAGATAGCTGTGGAACGCCTACCACAAAACAAAAAACACGCCTCGCTGACTACAAATCGCCACACCTACCTACATTTCCACCTACACGTACAACGTCCGAACCCGATAGGGTGAGCCTCTACCCAAGCACTTCAAACACTCGCCTCGATTGGCGCCTCGACCGCACCACCATCCAGTTCCGCCGCCGCCTCTGCCGCCTGCGACAAATCGTCCACGAGCACTGCCATAGATGGGTCAGCGTCGTCATCGTCAGCACCGGACGACGTCGCCGCTACCTCGCCTACCTCTGACACCGGCTCGACTTGCAACACCGGTGTCGCCACGTCCACCAAAGCCTCCGGTACAACGTCCCCCGGGCCAGACAATACCCGCTCCTCCACGGCGGCAGCAGACGCCTCCGCACCCGACGCCGAAGATGGCACGTCGTCGGCTTCCACACTCGGCGGGACCACGTCTGTAACCGCCGGTTCGGGTTCCTCGCCTACGACGGTCGAAGATGGTGCTGGTAAGCTCGACGCCACAGCCGCAGGGTCCTCCACGGATACGGCAGGGTCTACGGTGGCCGATTCAACAACCAGGGATGCATCGTCTACAACCCCCGTCGCCTCTGCAGGAGCTGTAGGAGAACAGTCGTCGGTGGCTGACGGCAGTACCTCGTCCAAGACTGGGGCGGCCGCCTCTTCCGCCGATGGTGCCGCCGAACTCTCCTCGAGCGCCGATACCAGCGCCGACACTGAACCCGCCGCCACCGGCGCCTCCTCAGTGGCATCCACATCTTCACCGGTAATCGACGGAACGTCCTCAGCGATCTCACCGTCAGTCTGCTTCGGTCTCTCCTCAGCTGTCACGGACACAGACGGCTGCACCACCGCAGCCTCCGGCACAATATCGATCGGGGCGTCGTCAGCTGCCACCGATGCGGGTTGCTCGGAGGGTGTGCCACCGACGTCCTGAACAACCCATGCACGCAGGGTCCCACAGCGCAACAGGCGGGAGAACGAGGATGTCAAGCGCCGATGTATACAGTAGCACTAGCGAGCGAGAGCCACGCGATACGATAGCTAGCGTGAACGGCGACGTTGAGAAGAGCAACCAACCAACTTCCTTCGTCGTCATACCCTGATGCCGAACGTCTGCATTCTTCGTACCGGCCTAATCCTGAGTGCACATCGTACCATCCGCTCAGGTGTCAACATTGACGCTAGACGTCCAAATATCGCCTAGTCTAACCTCGACCGGAAACACTTCACACACTCGCCTCGATCGGCTCCTCGGCCGCACCATCCCACTCCGCCACCTCTGCTTCCTCCGCTCCCGCTGGAGACAAATCGTCCACCAGCGGTGGAATAGACGGGTCTGCCTCCTCTGCATCAGTACCAGATGACGTCGCCGCTACCTCGCCCACCTCTGACACCGGCGTCGCCACGTCCACCACAGCCTCNCGGCCGCGACGGCCGGGCGTGGTGCTGGTAAGCTCGACGCCACAGCCGCAGGGTCCTCCACGGATACGGCAGGGTCTACGGTGGCCGATTCAACAACCAGGGATGCATCGTCTACAACCCCCGTCGCCTCTGCAGGAGCTGTAGGAGAACAGTCGTCGGTGGCTGACGGCAGTACCTCGTCCAAGACTGGGGCGGCCGCCTCTTCCGCCGATGGTGCCGCCGAACTCTCCTCGAGCGCCGATACCAGCGCCGACACTGACCCCGCCGCCACCGGCGCCTCCTCAGTGGCATCCACATCTTCACGGGTACTCGACGGAACGCCCTCAGCGATCTCACCGTCAGTCTGCTTCGGTCTCTCCTCAGCTGTCACGGACACAGACGGCTGCACCACCGCAGCCTCCGGCACAATATCGATCGGGGCGTCGTCAGCTGCCACCGATGCGGGTTGCTCGGAGGGTGTGCCACCGACGTCCTGAACAACCCATGCACGCAGGGTCCCACAGCGCAACAGGCGGGAGAACGAGGATGTCAAGCGCCGATGTATACAGTAGCACTAGCGAGCGAGAGCCACGCGATACGATAGCTAGCGTGAACGGCGACGTTGAGAAGAGCAACCAAACAACTTCCTTCGTCGTCATACCCTGATGCCGAACGTCTGCATTATTCGTACCGGCCTAGTCCTGAGTGCACATCGTACAATCCGCTCAGGTGTCGACATTGACGCTAGACGTCCAAATATCGCCTAGTCTAACCTCGACCGGAAACACTTCACACACTCGCCTCGATCGGCTCCTCGGCCGCACCACCATTCAACTCCGCCACCTCTGCTTCCTCCGCTCCCGCTGGAGACAAATCGTCCACCAGCGGTGGAATAGACGGGTCTGCCTCCTCTGCATCAGTACCAGATGACGTCGCCGCTACCTCGCCCACCTCTGACACCGGCGTCGCCACGTCCACCACAGCCTCCGGCACCACATCATCAGTGCCAGACAGAACCGGCTCGGCGACAGGCGCTGCAGTCGCCTCTCCAACCAACGCCGAACATGCCATGGCATCGGCTTCCGCATCCTTTGGCTCCTCCGTAACCCCGACGGTACTCGACGGGACCGTGCCTGTCACCGCCGGTTCGGATACCTCGTCTACCACGACTGGGCTTGGTTCTAGCACGCTCGACACCGCAGCCCCAGGGTCCTCCACGGATACAACAGGGTC